GTTTGGGTGAGTGCTGTGAGGGTCGGTGTGGACTGGTTGGGCTGAAGGGCCTGTTTCCACACTATAGGGATTCTATGATCTTCTAACTGTTTTGGAAACTTTCCCACCACCGAAGTTAAACTGACTGGTCTGTAATTGCTTAGCTTATCTTTGTTTTTTGAATAAGGGCTGATTTGGTACCAAAAAGGTAATTTTATACATGATGGTGTTTCAATTCTTCACTTTCTTTTTGAGACCTTGCTTTAGTCGAGGGAAGACCTGAAATATTGCAGCCAGTGCCGCTACAATTTCTCAGTATTATCTTTTGGAAGCATCTCATCTCATTCCAGTGTCTTGAACTCTGTCCGACACTAATCAATTTTTGAACCCTTCAAGTGGTAGAGTTTCCTCCTCGTATCACCCATGGGCAGCATCTTCCTTGGCAGAAGACATGAAAAGTATTAACTAAGTCATGTCCCCTAATTCCATGTGTAAATCCTGTTTTTGGTCCCTAATTAACCCTACTCCTCTATCTCTCTTTTCTTTTTTCTTTTTTCTATAGGCATATAAATAGTAAAACTTTGCGATTTCTTTGTTTGCTGCCGTTCTTTTCTTGTAATTCCGTTTTGATTTCTAATAGGCTTTTTCACCTCACCTCTGAATCTTGTTTTCCTTGTGGTTCTCGATTGTATTTTCTATCTGACACTGTTTTAAGCAAACTGCCCTGTTTTTCTTAATTTCTATGTCTTTGTCATCCAGTGGGCTCTGGATTTGTTTTTTTGACTTTTTTGTCCTTTTCTTATTTTGAGGAAATGTACCTTTTAGTGTCTAACGAAACTATCTCATCTTTGGTAGCCCATCACTCAGTTACAATAAACCTTTGATTCCAGTCTACCCAGCCCAGCTCTGACTTGCCCCACTGACTCTCCTCTAATTTAACTTATTTTTTTCTCGATTTGACCATTGCAAGTCTTCACCATCGTAGTAAATATTATGATGATATGATCATTTAACCCTAATATTCCTCCACTAAACTTGATCCATTTGGCTCACCTCATTTCAAGAGCCAAGTCCAACAAATTCTGTTGGACAGGCCACCCTGCAATAGGAAATTCTCCTGAACACAATCTAGGATCACTTGCCGCCTTCTATGCCTTACCAAAATATAGACTAGGATATTGATAATGTAATTAAAGCCCTTCATTATAACTATATAATGTTGGCATCTTTCTGATTTTCCCTGCAGATCAGTTCCTCCATAGCCTTTCCATTTATTGGTAGTCCATCAACTATACGGAGTAATATTTTTTTTAAAAAAGCCTGTTTCTTCATCTTTCTTTCTAGTCAAATAGATTGATTTTTTTCGTTCTTGAAATTGGAGACATCATCTTTCTCCAACATTGCAATATTTTCCTTAATCAATACTTTTATAATAGTTTCCACCCGATTTCCTTTTCAATCTTTTCTGAATACTGTGTACTCGAATATTTAACACCTGTTCCTTGACCCAGGTCTCTGACATCACATCATAACCTCCTTATGGAAATCTGCATATGTCACTATCCAAATTTATTTACAATGCTCTCTGTATTTACATTTATGCATAGTAACCCTAATTTATACTTCATTATTTTTTCTCTCTCTCTCTCCACCTTCACCAACCAATATACTGCACTCTTAGTGCAACCTGTGTCTTGAAGCATTTTGTGCTCCCTGGTATCTTTCTCTCATTCTGTCTTGGTTGGCAAGTTGTTGAAAGACTTCGTGATAGCATTACCAACTCGGTCCCGGGTCTATTCAGGTGTAACTCATTTAGCTTTTATTGATGTTATAAAACTGTAGGTGAGAGGAGCAGAAGTAGATCATTCAGCTCAAGTGCTCTGCCATTCTTTCCCAGAGCCCGTCCCACTGACCTAAGAATCAAAAGCCCCCTAATCATACGTCCAGACATGCACACATCTGTATTATCCTGTTTCTGTTTTCACTTGCATTTGGCGCTAGGTGTAACGTGGAGATTACTACATTTGAGATCCTGCTTGCTATTTTTCTACCTAGCACTCTAAATTCTGATTGCGGGGTCACATTCCCTTTTCCTACCAAAGTCTTTGGTATCAGTAGGGACCATGATCTGTGACTATCCATCCTCCCCAAAAGGATGTTCTGCAGCTGCTACATGACAACCTTGACCCTGGCACCAGGGAGGCAACATGCCATTCTATGGTTACAGATTCCCCTAACTGAATCCCCTATCACTATATTTCTCTTGCTGGGTTGCTTGTAGTGGCTTTGATGGTCTCCCCTGAGGAACCAATACCCACAGCTACTTCCAAAATGGAAAACTGACTTGTGACAGTTGTACCCAGTTGTTTCTCTTGGACTCCCTACAATTGTCCAGGTGCTTAAGCTGTGCATACAGTGGGTTCTGATAATGTGTTTCTTCAGCGCATTGGCCGTAATGCAGTTGAAGGATAGGAGAATGCTGCTTGTAAAGTGCAAACTTTCCCTGCCTGTGTTAGCTATAACACGATTCTGTCCCTATTGCTTTGTGTTATGGTTATTGTGATTTTCTAAAGCACGAGAACTCAACTATTGCGTTGTATCAGAATTGACTGTACTATTAGTGACTGTAGCCTCTGCCCAAGATCCTGTTGCTTATTAACTAGGCTATTATAACTTTAAAGGCTGCTAGTTCTAAAATTGAACTTGAAGATTTTACCAATTGAATTCTTGTGTACCTGGATATACTCACTGTACCTCTGCTTTACTCGAGTGAAGTCTTACTGGTTGTGAAATGTATTGCCAGTAAGTGTTTTATTTTCAATTTAAAAATATAACCTTCACCAAGAATGTTTTACAATATTTTGGTACTAGGATTTTGGTACAGGAACTGAAGGATTTTAACAGAACAAGCATAGACTGGTTTATGGCACTAAAGGAAACCATTGTGCCCATTATGTTGCTGTTTGTGGCAGAATTAGAGTTCATTAATGTCCTGATTTATCATCTCACCGTGAAAGTTAAAGCCACCACGCCCAAGGAAATCTTAAATTTCATAGACGCCACGATTTAAATTGGCATAGCATAACCTACAGCTTTTATCAGAAGACGTTTTTCAATAACTGACACACTTCACAGAAATTCAATTTGCAAGGATTCATTACAGGTAATTTCAATTTCATGTGAAACTTTTTTTGTTGAGTGTAAAAGCCACACAAACTGCATTAACAAGGAGGATCCTGTTTAAATCCTCAAGAAATCAATCCAGTTAGGTAGAGTGGGTCTCATGCCCAAGTACCAATGTGTTACTATTCTGTCTATTTGGGTGAGGTAAGAGGGTGGCTGAAGCCTGCAAAACTTGAACAAAAAATGCATTTGGCACCTTCAGTAGAGAACTAAAATGCAGTGAATATTTTGCACATGGATGGCTGTGGTACAGGCAAAGAATGTTATGTTGTCTAATGTTGGGTAGTGTGAATCCGGCAAGGTGTGGCCTAGCCCTGAAAGGATAGGGGGCTTGCTGCATTTCCAATCTAGTTTATGGTTTGGGGTTGGAGTCAAAATTGCTTGACAAAGTTTGTTTTAACGGTTTGGATTCAAACTGAAGTACAGTTTCTGATGATTAGCACTGTTCTTTTTTTCTCTTTTTTTTTCTTTTTTCTTTTTCTTCCTTCCTTCTGTCCTTCTCTACCCCCTCCCCCTGTCCTTGCCCTCCACCCAGGCTCCTGATAGTCAACAAAGTAAGTTGTAATCATCAACTCTGCTTTCTTCTGCAGGAACAATAGTTGTGTGGCATCTTTATTTGTTTAAAGCCCAAGACACTTCAAGTATCTTATGTTTTAAGATTTTGTTAAAATGCAAATTGGTTCCCTTTGCTTCAGGGATTGTAGTAGAAAGGAATGCAGTCAGAAATGAGTGCAGTGGAATTAATACTTCTGAGTGCTGCAGATAAACTCTGCCTCCTTGTACAGCAAGTGTGATTTTTTTTTTACTGGGACCAGCCATAAGGAATTCAAGAAAGAAAATATTTAGCACTTTGCATGGTGATCTCCTCATTGGGCTGATCAAGCACTAAGTGATTGCCATCCACTTTGTTTTACATATCAACTTGTAGGACACAGTAACTGACAGCAAAATTGGATTGTAGTGGACAGCGGAGAAGGTTACCTCCCAGAGTACAATGGGATCTTGATCAGATGGGCTGAGGAGTAGCAGGTGGAGTTTAATTTAGATAAATGAGATACTGCATTTTGGAAAGGCAAATCAGGGCAGGATTTATACACTTAATGGTAATGCCCTGGGGAGTGTCGCTGAGTGCAGGTTCATAGTTCCTTGAAAGTGGGGTCACAGGTGGACAGGATAGTGAAGGTGGTGTTCAGTATGCTTGCTTTTATTGGTCAGTACATTGGGTAATGGAGTTGGGAGGTTGTGTTGTGGCTGTACAAGTCATTAGTTAGGCCACTATTGGAATATTGCATGCAATTCTTGACTCCCTGCTGTAGAAAGCATGTTGTGAAACTAGAAAAGGTTCAGAAAAGATTTAAAAGGATGTTGCCAGGTTTGGGGGGTTTGAGCTAGAGGAAGAGGCTGAATAGACTGGGGCTATTTTTCCCTGGAGCATTGGAGGCTGAGAGGTGACCTTGGGTTTATAAAATCATGAGTAGCTGAATAGGGTAAATAGACAAGGTATCTTCCGTGGAGTGGGGGAGCCCAAAATCAGAGGGCATAGGTTTAAAATGAGGGGGGAAAAATTTTAAAAGGGACTTCAGGGGCAGCTTTTTCACGCAGAGGGTGATGCATATATGGAAAGAGCTGCCAGAGAAAGTGGTGGAGGCTGGTACAATTACAATATTTAAAAGGCATCTGGATGGGACTAGATTTATTTAGGATATCTGTCGAGATGGAAGAGTTGGACCGAAGGGTCTGTTGCTGTGCTGTATATCTCTAGCTCAATGACAAGAATGCAGATTCCACAGTGCACCATTACAGAGAATGTTAAACTTTTTAATTTTTCCTTCTTTCAGGACACTGCTGTGCTTAGGATGGCTGACTTCGATCTGACTGATGCGCTACATGAAAGTTCTCCCAGTCTTGAACCAGAAGTTAAGAGGGATTTCATTGCTTCTCTGGAGGCAGAGAAATATGATGACGTTGTTGGAGAAAGTGTGACGAAAGAAAGTTATGTTCCACTGCTGGATGATGATGAGACAAAATCGCTTCCTTCAGAGGCTAAAGAGAATGCTATGGTGTGCTTACATGGAGAGGCAGCACCTGAACAAAGTGATGGGGGAAAATTGACAGAATGTGAGTGTGTGCATAGTATGAACTTTAGATCGGGTCAGCAAATGGAAGCCTCACTAATGGGTATGACAACAGGACTTGTGAATCTTGGATATTTGTAAACAGTCTAGTATTTTCTAGTCAACAAGGTGCAGAGCTGGATGAACACAGCAGGCCAAGCAGCATCATAGGAGCAAAAAGGCTGACGTTTTGGGCCTAGACCCTTCTTCAGAAATGGGGGAGGGGAAGGGGGTTCTGAAATAAATAGGGAGAGAGTGGGAGGCGGATAGAAGAGGGATAGAGGAGAAGATAGATGGAGAGGAAACAAACAGGTCGAAGAGGCGGGGATGGAGCCAGTAAAGGTGAGTGTAGGCGGGGAGTTAGGGAGGGGATAGGTCAGTCCAGGGAGGACGGACAGGTCAAGGGGGCGGCATGAGGTTAGTAGGTAGGAGGTGGGAGGAAGAACAGGTTAGGGAGTCTAGCATTTTGTTTTCTACTTAAACATTCCTCCGCATCTATCCAGTACAACTTAATGAGGAATTGGAATGAGAAATGACCGTTGCTCTACAAATATTTGGTTACTCGTTTGGTCATTCGGATTCCTGCAACTAATTTCATGTTGAGTAATTGCAGCTATTGGAGATCAGTTTTGCAACAGGAAATAGCTAATTCAACCTTGTAACATTTTCAACCACTTTGACCTTTCACAGTTAGATCGCAGCTAATTTGTATTTCAACTCTCTATTCTGACTTAGTTTCATATTCCTCAGTGCCCTTGCCTAATAAATCTGTTGTGAAATTTGAATTGTCCCTGCATCCACAGTCTTTTGGAAGCATGTGTTCTAAAATTTGCTGTTGTCTGTGTTCCCTGATTTTATTCCCAAATGGTTTAAATCCTCTTCAATTAAAATGCAATTAGCTGCCGACTGCTGTGAAGATAGTACTGTGACTGTATATGTATATTTTCCCATTCTGAAGGGTCACTGGACTTGAAACTTTAACTCTGCTTTAATTCCACAGATGCTGCCAAACTTGCCAAGTTTCTCCAGCAATTTGTTTTTGTATAGCTTTTCTTATTTGTGTATGTTTGCCTATAATCTGCTAGGACATGGGTATCTGTAACTGTTACTTCAATGGGGTCTTGAATTATTTTTTTTTTTTTTATTTGTATCCTTCAATAAAGGGCATAAACTTGTTTTCTTTCCTCCTGCCCTTTCCTTTACATCTTTATTTCTTGTTCGGCTAAGGTACATGATTGTGGCATCCCTTTGAGCAGCTTATCCTGATTACAATAAACTTTTCAGCCTCAACTGTAACTGAAGATGTGATCAGCATTTTGTGAGAACACCAACCATCCAATGCTGTCACCATCCAGACATATTGGATATGTTTAGCCATTTCATCACTGTTAGTAGGTTTGGAATACCAGGACTTTTACTGAATGATGTCACCTTCAATGGGGTTAATTACTGTAAGCAGGAAGCTGAGTTAACTTTTGAAGCATCAGTGGCTCTCTAAGCAGATAGGTATAATGAGTAGTTGGAAATTTCTTACAGAAGGTGTAAAAGTGATGCTGCTTTTTTTCTACTTTTTTGAGACTGGCTGTAGAAATCATGCATCTCTTTCCAGAAATAGAGGGTAGCAGTAAGAATTTTGAAGAACTAGAGAGCTGAATGAGTTTACTGCATTCCAAACAAAAATTGTTACATACCAGAAAAGAAGGCAAGTGCTACACCTGCCCCCATACCTCCTCCCTCACCCCCATCCCAGGCCCCAAGAAGACTTTCCACATCAAGCAGATGTTCACCTGCACATCTGCCAATGTGGTATACTGCATCCGCTGTACCCGGTGTGGCTTCCTCTACATCGGGGAAACCAAGCGGAGGCTCGGGGACCGCTTTGCAGAACACCTACGCTCGGTTTGCAACAAACAACTGCACCTCCCAGTCGCGAACCATTTCAACTCCCCCTCCCATTCCTCAGATGACATGTCCATCCTGGGCCTCCTGCAGTGCCACAACGATGCCACCCGAAGGTTGCGGGAACAGCAACTCGTATTCCGCTTGGGAACACTGCAGCCCGATGGTATCAATGTGGATTTCACAAGTTTCAAAATCTCCCTCCCCCTACCGCATCCCAAAACCAGTCCAGCTCGTCCCTGCCTCCCTAACCTGTTCTTCCTCCCACCTATCCCCCCCTCCCACCTCAAGCCGCACCTCCATCTCCTACCGACCAACCTCATCCCGCCCCCTTGACCTGTCCGTCCTCCCTGGACTGACCTATCCCCTTCCTAACTCCCTACCTACACTCACCTTTTACTGGGTCCATCCCCGCCTCTTCGACCTGTTTGTTTCCTCTCCACCTATCCTCTCCTCTATCCCTCTTCTATCCGCCTCCCACTCTTTCCCTATTTATTTCGGAACCCCCTTCCCCTCCCCCTTTTCTGAAGAAGGGTCTAGGCCCGAAACGTCAGCCTCTCTGCTCCTGTGATGCTGCTTGGCCTGCTGTGTTCGTCCAGCCCTGCACCTTGTCTCGGATTCTCCAGCATCTGCAGTTCCTACTATCTCTAAGTGAATTAGTGTATTTTTTTCTCTTATCTGAGGTTGGGAATTTTCATCCAGGGTAAATACAGTACTAATTAAAATATTGTGATTACAAGCAGAGCAAGAATAAAGACATTAATTAAAACTCCATAAAGATGACAAGGCAGGTGATGTATTCCAGCTGTAGTTGGTAGATTCTAAAGAATGCCAATGTGATCTACTGCAACATTTGCAGTAAGTGTTTGGACTTCAGGAACTGTGATTAACAGTACATACGTGGGTGGCCAAACTTCAAACACTGCTGCATTTTAGCGAAATTTGCCAGGTCACTTCAGTCCAAAAGGCAATCATTCCCCTTCGGGCAATATCTTCTGATTTTTGTCTGTGATCAGGGACAGTAGGTGTACTTGTGAATGAGGCAGGTACAGATATTGAGATGGTAGAAGTGGAGGAGGCTCAGCCATTTCAAACAGGTTCCAGGTTCTTGAGCGAGAAGTAGGAGGTGATGAACTATTTTATCTTGGCATCAGGGTGCAGGGATCTGTTCATGTGGGAGAAGTGAATAGAAACTAGAGATATACTAGCACTGGAGGGGGTGCAGAGGAGATTCACTCTGTTGATTCCAGAGTTGAGAGGGTTGGATTATGAGGAGAGACTGAATAGACTGGGATTATACTCATTGGAATTCAGAAGAACGAGGGGAGATCTTATAGAAACATACAAGATTATGAAGGGAATAGATAAGGTGGAGGCAGGGAGGTTGTTTCCGCTAGCAGGTGAAACTAGGATTAGAGGGCATTGCCTCAAAATAAAGGGAAGTCGATGTAGGACTGAGGTCAGGAGGAACTCCTTCACCCAAAGGGTTGTGAATCTGGAATTCCCTGCCCAGTGAAGCGGTTGAAGCTACCTTGCTGAATGTTTTTAAGGCAAGGCTAGATTAAATTTTTGAACAGTAAAGGAATTAAGGGTTATGGTGATTGGGTGGGTAAGTGGAGCAGAGTCTCAAAAAGATCAGCCATGATCTTATTAAATAGTGGGGCAGGCTCGAGGGGCCAGATGGCCTACTCCTGCTCCTAGTTTTTATGTTCTTATGTAAACTGTAGGTGATTATGTAGTCAGGTGCAGATCAGTGCAGCTGAGAGTTTGAGTCCTGAAGGCAGTACTGCCTGCCTGGCTTCAGACATCTCTAAATTGGAGAGGACCTTGCCATGGGAGGGGAAGGATCCTGTGGTCTTGGTCCACATGGGTATCAATGACCTAGAATGGGATAAAGAAAGATGTTCTGTTTGGAGAGCTTGAGCAGCTAAGGGCTAAATATATAAAGCAGAAAAAAATCTTCGGATAATTACTGGAGCAATGAATAAATTCACATTGCGTTGAATGTGTGGCAAAAGATTGGCATGAGCGAAATGGATTTGATTTATGGAATGTCAACATCAGTACCGAGAGAAACCAAGATCTGAACCACTAGCCTTCATCTGAACATCTAAGTGGTCCCAGCATACTGTTGAGTCATTAGGCAACCTTGTCATCATCCCCCAAACAATTGTATATTTGGAAAACCGTAAATTCAGTTAGGCCTTAGATGATCTCTCACTTAAGGTTGATGTTGTGTACGCCTATACTTGTGTTTTGCACAGGTAACTGAATATGATAAATAGCCTCACCTAGCACAGGAGCAATACACTGTATAATATGAGGAATAGTTATAGTTTCACAACTTCAGTTGCCCTACTGTTTGTCTGTATATCACTACATCTTGCAGTAGTGTGCAGCACGGTGGCTCATTGGTTAGCACTGCTGCCTCACAGCGCCAGGGATCCAGGTTCGATTCTGCCCTCTGGTGACTGTCTGCATGAAGTTTGTATGTTCTCCGTGTCTGTGTGGGTTTCCTCAGTGCTCAGGTTTCCTCCCACAATCCAAAGATGTGCTGGCTAGGTGGATTGGCCGTGTTAAATTGCCCATAGTTTTTGGGGATGTGTAGATATAGGGTTATAGGGGGATGAGTTTGGGTGGAATGCTCTGGGTTGGTGTGGACTTGTTGGGCCAAGGGGCCTGTTTCCACAATGTAGAGGTTCTATCTATCATCTTCCCCACCCCCCGACTTGATCAATTTAGGCTCATGTTTCCACACAGCCTGCTGGGCAGTTTGAGGATCAAACACTTTTTTTGACTATTTTTGCTGAGGTAAATGCACGAGTCAAAGCTCTGCATTGTTCTAAATCCAAGGATTTTTGGACAGAAGGTTTTTGGAATAGATATCAGCAAGGAGAATTTTGCTTTGTACTGAAGTATGCTTGGGATTGATGAATAAATAAGACTTTGTGGCCAGGATTGGTAGAGACCTGGGGAAGGTTTTGGAGGAGCTGAACTATATGAAGGAGAAAAGAAATGCCAGAAGAGCATTTCCATTTTTAGGCATGAATGAGGGTTTTAACACCTTGATTGTCAGAAACCAGGATGGAGATGAGACAGAATTGGAAGTTCAGCTTATGGTCTATGTTCTGACTGAACACTAACTCAACTTGGGATATTTTCCCAAGGAGACAATTGAGTCAATGATGGATTTTGAAAAAGATGTTCTGGTCGTCTTACTGTTTAAGTAGGGGAAGCTTTAAACTGAATCAAGAAAACATGTGCTGTGGGAAAAGCTTTCAATGATGCATTTCTCCCATTTTTTATATTAATGTTTACCTTTTCTGCACAAGTCCAGCAGCCTGGTACAAGGGAATGTACGTTAGTATTTCTGTTAAGGAGAGAAGAAAGTGCAACTGACTTGAGACAACAAGGTGCAGGGCTGGATGAACACAGCAGGCC